GACCCAGTCCTGAAGCCCAGCAGGCAGTGTGACTCTTGCAGCCACCTCCAGGGCGCTACAGAAACGCGGGCACCCTTCGGAACTCCTGTGACACTGAGGTCCTGCTGACTGCTGGCAGTGCCAACCGGCTCCAGCATTTCGCTCTATAATCATAATGGCATGAAGATTATTACCACAATTCCACACTTCAGATGCGGGGCGTGAGCCTCCGAAGTCCCTAACACGGGGGTGCCCAAGGTCGCGCAAGCAGTAAGAGGCAAACAAACGGGGCTCCAAGGGCCAACCCTGGCTGCGGGGCGGTGCCCAACTGCCGCACCAGCCTCTGGGCAGGGGAGCCTGGAAGCGCTTCTCCATTTCCCGCGCTGGCTGGGCCTGATCAGCCAAGGCGGGAGCCGTCTCCGAGAGGGGTTGGGGGTCCATGGGGCGGATCCGCAGGAGGAACCTAGAAGGGGCCTGCAGTCTCCCGGGCTTGCTGCAAGTCTCCCTGGTTTGCCCTGGAGAGTGTCGCTGCCTCCCGCTCCGGTCTAGGAACTGACCCTGGCGGAGCAGCGGTTCCGCGCCCCGTCTGTCCCTTCCCGGCCAGCACTCCCTGCGCGCACGCGCACTGCGCACCTAAGCGCTCCGCTCCGTCCCGAGGCGCGCCTGCCCCGCGGGGCTCCGGTGGTTCCCCTCGGCCTCTGCTAGGCCGGTCCTCAGCAGGTCTCCCAGGGCACTGTCTCCCGGCTCTCCTCCCCTGGGAACATCCACCCGCTGCCTGGCGTGTCGACTCCCAGGCGACAGGCTCCTGCGGGCCCAGTGGAGCCTGGCTGCGAGGGGAAGCTTGCTTGGCAGGCTGGGTGTGCGTTTACTGGGTGCGTGTAGAGCGTGTGCTGGGCTGTGCTGGTTTGCGTGTGGGTGGGTGTGTGCGTGGGCTTTGTGGAGAGTGCGCAACGTGTTAGCTGTGTGCGCTTGGGCATTTGTCAGGGTCGTTTGCGTTGTGCGTGTGCGCGTGGCTTTCCGGTGTTGGGTTATTGCCCGGGTGTGTGCGTGGGGCGCCGGGTTCGGCAGTGTGCTGGTTTCCTGTGCATTGGCTGCGTGTGTTGCTTGTACACTTGCTGCGTGTGCAAGTTGTACGTTTGTCATGCGGTATGTTGGTGTGTTGTGTACGCGTTGATGAGAGAGAGAGAGTGTGTGTGTTTCTGGCCTTTTCGGCCTCAGGCTCGGCGCTGCAGAGCCGGGGCTGTGGGCGCGCGGCCGCGGGAGGGCGCTGTGGAGAAGGCCTGCCGGAGAGACTGAAGGGTCGCCTGGGCTGCTAGGGGAGCGTGTGGGACTTGCCGAGTGGAGTGGAGGGAGGAAAATCTGCGCGTCTGGAGCTTGGACTCGCGGCGCTGGGAAAGGGATTCATGGGGAGGGGGCAGGTTAAGGTGCTTCCCCGGACGGCGGGGCCGCCCAGCTGGGGGAGTGCCCAGGCCCAGCCGCGGTGGGAGCGGCTGGGAGGGCGGGAGCTGAGCCGGGGAGGCCGCATGGCCCTGGGGGCCTGGCCAGTCCGGCGCCAGCCGCCAAGTTGAAAGGCGGCCGGGGCCTCTCCTCTCCGCTTCCCATTGCGCCCCCGAGGGCTCCGGGCGGGGTGCAGGCCGGGAGCCCCGCTGGGCTCACCTCCGAGCCTTGGGTCACTAAGTGAGGGGGTCCGGAGGTGGCGAACTCAGGCCGGGCTCACAGCCCTGGCATTCGCACTCACACCTCCCCCGCACCGCCCACCCCAGTCGGGGGAGTGACTGCTTTTACTGGCCCCCTGCACGACCTGGGCCCTCCACCCGCGTCAGCGAGCATCATCATCGAAAGAGCGCTGAAACAAGGTGTTCTCCCGGCGAGCCTCCCGCCACTCCCCTGCTTCCAGGTCCACAGTCGTCCTGCCCCACTGACCCGCGCCGGCCAGGAGCGCCCCGGCGCCCTGCCGTCGGGTAATCCTCAGTCCCGAGGGTGCCACGCTGCGAGCCGCTTGGGTTTACACACCGAGGCTTCTGTCTCTTCCCCAAAAAAACGAAAACACCTTCACAGATTGTAGGGCAGGTGAGACGCCCCTGGGACGGCGCTTGTTCGGGTCAGGGCACGAAGGAGTTAAATTCACAGCGCTAGTTAGGGCCCGGCCTTGACCACACTCGCTTCTCTGCCTTTTGCAGTCCCAAATAGTCTTTCAAGCAGCCTGTGACCCCCAACAACTGGGCGCCCGGCGCGTGAAAGCGCGATGCCCAGCGGGAATCTGTGTTCCAATCCCTGCTCTGTGCCACGTTGTGTGCGTGGCGTCGGGGGCACTCGCGTGGCCGCTCCCGAAATGCTCCCAGCCTAAGAAGTCGGCTGGGGTGGGGGTCGTGGGGGCGGCGGCCAGAGCGGTGGCTGCAGCGTGCTGAAGGCTGCTCAGTGCCGGCTTCGGGCTTCGCCATCTCCCTGCGCGGAAGCTGGGGGCTGCGCGCCACTGACCCGGCTTGTCCAGCCGGAGAGGGAAATTGATCCGGAAAGGGCCAGGCCGGGCGCTCCCTGCCCTCTCTGCCCTCACTTGATAAACTGAGCGGCAGAGCTGAAGGACGTGGCCAGCGCCCGGAGCCCGCTGCGATTCCACGCCCACCCGCGATGGTGGCGGCCCGGGGTCCCACGCCGCGAGAGCGCGTGCCTGTCCGACCCGGCAGACATCCATGGAGCACCTTCTGTGGGCAAGCTCAGAAAGGGGGCGAAGCTGGGAGGGGAACAGAGAGATCGGAAACAAAAAAGGGGGCCACGAAAAGACTGGAATAAAATAAACAGAAACGGGGAGGCTGGGGGCATGGACGCGCAAAGGAACCCAGATCCAAGGGCGGCGATTGGAGGCAATCAGAGGCCGAGCCCGGGCTGGGGCTGGGGGCGGCAGGGGCTGTCGGGGCGGAGGCCGGTCGCCTGCTGAGGCGCTGGGTGGGGGAAGGGGTGCGCCAGCCTCGCCCGCAGCTACAGCCTTGCTGGAGCCGGCCGCGCGTCTACTGAGCGCGAGCAGTTGCTCATTACTGCAATTAAGTTGCTCCAAGTTTGCCTCGACCCTAAATTGTCAAGGCTGGAGGAGCCAGGAAGCCCAGAGCCTGGGCCAAAGGAGACACCGGATCCCGCCCGGCCATTCTCCAGTCCTGGACGAGCAAAAACGAACGAAAGCTGAGAAAGCTCGGGTCCACCCGCATTCCCCGATCCTCAGTGAGGGGGTGCTCTTTGCTGGCGTCCCAGATCCTGGGGGCGGGAAGGATTGTCAGGCCCGTTTCCCAGATGAGAACGCGGAGGTCCGTAAGGCAGCGGGAGCCATCTTCCCCACAGCCGGCAGGCAGGCTGGGGCGGCCTCTCACTCTCAGTTCGCTGCTGCTCCCTGCAAGGGAGATGCCAGTGCTAGGGATGTCACCAAAAGACGCCCAGAAAACATGAAGAAACCAAGGTTTACTTTATGGGGGAGATTCCAGATCCCCTTGTGTCTGCAAGAAGCAGGGTGCGCTTCACTCCTCCAGAGCCTTCAAGGGTGCGTTGCTGTGTACTTTTGAGGTCTTTTTTGGTGAAAACTTCTCTTTCCTAGGGACAGAGGCCCAGGTTAGGGTTCTGAGGAAAATTCAGGGGCTCAGGGGCTCCCCCAGAAGGTCCCGTACAAACAAACTGCACTCCCCCAACAACCTTCTTTCTCTTCGTGGTGAGTTCAGACTGCAGCCCCAGCTGCCTGGAGGAGGCCTTTGGGGGTGCTGGGCGCTTACCCAGGCACAAGGATCCCAGCCTCAGGTACCTGGGACCCTGCCGACACCCCCTCAGAGCACGCCCTCCCTGCCCAGGGTGTGTGCACACTGAATTCTTAGGCCAGTCTCCCTCTAGCCCTGGGCTGAACCGCGCAGTGCCAGCCCAGCGGAGAAGTGGGCTTCTGCACAGCCCAAACGCTCAGTGCAGCGCTCTTCCCTAACCCTAAGTCGGGCTTCTGACTTCCCCTAGCACTGGGCCTCCCCGAGCCTCCAGGAGCCTGGACTCCGAGCCCAGGATTGGGTTGGGGGTTGAGGGGGCGGGGGGAGCCGCCATTGGCTGGCCGAGAAGTAACTCAGGGCTCTCAGAGGAAGATGGGGTGTCCAGGGCCCTCACTGGCCTTTTATTTTGTTTCTCTGGGTGATTTTCTGCCTTGATGTCCTAGCAGAATCCCACATCCCGCCCCCCCACGGCTAAATCTGGCGCTCCTTCAATCAGATTCTCCTGGAAACCGTCATTCAACCCAGTATGTACAAGAAAAAGCAGGTTTGTGGGAGTCTGGGGGCACAGCGCCTGGACCCACAAAGGTCAGCAGTGTGGGGTCCTTCTGGGTTTTCAGCAAAAGGCTTGTTTTTCTTTTCAGGTGGTCGGGACAGGGAGTGTGAAGTCCATCACTTCCCAGGCCCTGGGACCAGGGAATGCACCAGTGGGTGTCTACACCAGTGCAGCCCCACGGAGGAGCAGAGGAGGAGCAGGGCAGACCTCCACCCCCCTGGCTCCTCCAGGAAAAACAGGTTTGGGGGTGGGAATTGTCTGGATTAGCTGTCTGCAGGCATCAAACCATTTGGGTGATTGGCTTTGTTTTCACAGACAGGTTAGAAAGGAGAGAAACAAGCGAGAGTCAGTTGTGGGGCGCCCAGCAAGTGTCCATTTCAGCTTAAAGTGAATTGGAAAATGGAGCCTAATTATCCTAGGTAATTGCTTCAATTCTCCACTTGACTTTGCTAACACAGATCTGCCCGGCTTGTTCAAAAAGGCCCCCTCCGCATGCAAGTATCTGTGGTCACTTCTAGAAGTTGCTGCTGAAAGAAACATCAAGTCGAAAATCAGCCCCAATGTGAAGAGAGGCCAGAAAGTAAACCAGAAATGAAAGTTAAATCAGCGAAGAGATCGTGTCTTGTAGCTTAAAATTAATTTATTTAACAAATATAGCTATAATATAAATGATAATAAAATTTCAAATATACAGTATATTACACGCAATCCCTTCCAAAGGGATCCTTGAGGGCCACGCAAATGTACTGTTAAATAGAAACAGAATTTTTAAATTTTATTTTACAATTTTTTCTGGGACTGGTGAGCGCGGCCTGTGCAACCTACCTGTGGCCTATCTGTGTGCCTCCACCCTGCCCCCAGACAACTGCGGAGTTCCTCAAGTCAGGGCCCAGGGCCTCCCTTGGCTGCCCAGCTGAGCGCTCCATTTCCCAGAGGCGCCCCGTGGGTCTCCCCCAGACGTGGCTGTCAGGCCAGGAGGCAGCCAAGAGGCAGGAGAGGCAGCCTCAGTCCCGGCTCCCCAGCTCTGCCGGGTCCTGGGTCAGCTCTTAACCTCTGGGCCTCTGGGCCCATCTGCAACAGGAGGCACAGAGCTAGCTTCCAGATCCCTACAGGAGCCTTCCAGCCACGTGTGGGGGGGACAGTCTGCAGAGAGTTAGCTCGGGAGCAAGGAGGACAAGCCCAAAGTGTGGGGGTCTGGGGAGCGGCCAGGCTCCTGCTGGGCAGGGGAGCCAGCGGCCAGGCAGCATCTGCTGCCCGCTGCCGCAGGCCAGGCAGAGGGGTGGCTGGCAGCAGGTGTGCTGGCGCTCTATGTCAGGTGGTACATGCTGTAGCCTACGTGGGCTGTGTAGAGTCCCACGGGGGCCACGGGCAGCGAGGCGCGCTGGAAGGGGCCCGAGGCGCCGTAGATGGAGGCCCCGGCGGCGGCGGCCACGGCGGCGGGCCCGCCCAGAGGGAAGGAGAGTCCGAAGGCAGCCGGGGGCAGCATGGGCTTCGCGGCCATCTTCAGCTTCTCCAGCTCCGCCTCCTGCAGTCTCTTGGCCTTGGCGCGGCGGTTCTGGAACCAGATCTTCACCTGTGTCTCCGTGAGGCTGAGCGAGCTGGAGAACTCGGCGCGCTCGGCGATGGACAAGTACTGCTTCTGGCGAAACTTGCGCTCCAGCGCCAGCAGCTGCGCAGTGGTGAAGGGCGTCCGCGGCTTACGGTTGGTCTTGTGCTTCCGCAGGGTGCAGGCTGGGGGGCTCAGCCGCCCTAGGGAGCAAGGGAGAGAGAAGAGGCGTTAGGAGGGCGGCCGGGGACCAGGCGGTAGCAGCCAGAGGCCGCCCCAGCCATTCCGCCAACGCCCGGCCAGACTGTGCAAGGCCCGGCTGCCAGAGCAGTCGGAATCCTCCGGCTGCCAGAGCGATCCAATCCGTCGGGTCAATGTTCTTGGCCACGTTTTGCAAAGGAGGGAACCAGGTGAAAGGCGCCCTGGTTCAGAGCCCCAACATAACTAGGACAGGTTGGCCCACTCTGGTCCTAGAAGGCGGCTTGGAAAGGCCTCTCCTCCCTGCTCTGGGCGCGTCCCTCGGGTGGTGAAACAGAATCTGCAGACAGGCCCTGCACGCTCCAGCCCGGTTGAGTTTTCTGCTGTAAGTACTTAAAGGCAGTTTTAGGTCTCCCGGACAGCAAGTGCCGAGCGCTGTGCTTGGCTTCCGCCATATTCCACCCTCTCCTAGGAACGGGGGGCTCCCTACAGGTCCCAAGGGTCCCGAAGAGCCAGGGGAGCGGTGTCGGTCACCACCGTGGGCCGGGCCCTTTGCGTGTGTCCAATGTCCTACGCGCCATGGGGGTGGCACGTTTTTCTGATAGTTTCAGTGGTGTGTAGGGCCACTCCACCCCCAGAGCGTTCACCCTCTGCTGGCGTTCAGTGTGTGTGTGGGGGGGCTCCCTTTCCTGGCCTGTGGCTCGGTCTGGAGAGGTCTCCCAACAGTATGTCTCCTATAGCTTCAATATAGGAGACGCCAGAGGACCAGGCTGGGCCTTGCCGTCGCGACAGAAGGTGCTAGTGGGTCCGTGACTGGTCCTCCGGGTGGACATCTGCACCCCCCAGGCTGCAGGGGGCATACCATTTGGATCAAATTATTCCCAGGCTATTTCCAGGACCCGGTGTCAGCGGAGGCCCTTCCCAAATCCCCAGGTCCTGAGGAGGCGGGCAGCTTCCCTCAGAAGGAAAATGCATGCGAAAGGAGAATGTTTCCCCAAGCGGGTTTTTACCTAACTCTGTCTTTTTCATGCTTATGGAAAAGCTCCTTGTGCTTTCCGACCACCAGGATGTGAGTCAAAGGCAAGCTGCTGACACCCGCCCTGCCTCCCCGCTGAAGCCCTGCGCCTTCGCGAAGCAGTGGGGCCGGCCTTGCTTTCCGCCCAGCGCCCGCCGAGGGCGGGTGCCCAGGCCAAAGTCACTCCTCCGGCACCACGGCCAGGCTGCGCCACCTTCTCCAGGCTCTAGGCTCAGGGAGGGGCTGGTCTTAAAGACGCTTAATCCCCAGATAAAATCATTCCTCAGCATCACGCCATTGAATTCGGGTTGCTATTATGTCGGGCAAAATAATCGGAGGAAACGAGGAAAACTTGGGAATTTCCCGTGCTCCTGAAATATCTCCGAGCGCGTTGCTGGGCACAGGAGCCAGGGGCCGAGGCCTTGGGGCGACCCCCAACGCGCCTTTGGACGCCAGTGGCTCCAACTGCCTAGGCAAGACGATGGGGAACTGCGGATCAGATTGGAGGGGGCGCCTCCCACAGACTGGCTTCGTGCACCCCCACCCCCTAACCGATCCACCCTCGGGGCACCCGGGATCTGCCAGCAACTTGAAAGGGGAGAGGGAGGGGTCTTTGCTAGCCCCACTGAGCCTCTGGGCGAAGGTACTGTAGTGGGGGGATGGGGACACCCGACTTGCACTCCAAGAAAGTGAAACTCCGCCGCGGGAGACCGCCAGCGCCGGCACCCACCGGGTGCGGAGAGACCCAGTGTTGGGGCTGAGGCGGCCCCTGCACTCGGTGGGCTCAGGAGAGGGCCCGCATACCCCTGCCCGGTGAGTGAACGCCCACCCGCGGCGCCGGGCGATGAGCCCACGAAGGGGACTGAGAACTGGGCCGCAGCCAGGCCTCAACCCCTCTTCCTGGGTGGAAGAGGGGGGTGCGCAGACCGGGCTCCCGCCAAAGATCTGGGCACCCGCGGCAGGTAGCCGGCTGCAGGTACGCGGACGCCGGAGACCGGCAGGCGCCGGCGCGGCCTGGCGCCCTCGGGCCGCACCCCGGCCGGCCCCCTCCCCCGCCGCTCGGGCTCGGGCTACTCACTGGCGGGGGGCGGGGAGAAGCGGGGGTTCTGCATCCAGGGGGTCCTCTCGGCCTTCTCGGGGCTCTCGGCTTTGACGAGCGCGTCTTCGGGCAGCTTGAGGAGTCCTCCCACCGAGAAATGGCCGAGCGGCCGCGGCGACGGAGGCGCGTCCGCGGCGCCCAGCGACCCGGGCCGGGGGCCCAGGGTCTGCGCGGGGCCGCCCGCTGCGGGTGCCCCCTCGGCAGCGGCCAGGGCGCCCTCCTTGGCCCCGGGCTTCCTGTGGTCGGCCATGAGCGCCTCCACGCTGAAAGGCAGGAGTGAGGGGGACACTTTGGGCTTGGCCCCCTCCTCGTCCGCGCCCATGGCGGCCGCGGTGGCACTGGGGTTCTGGCCCCCGGCCCCCACTGCCGACTGGCCGAAGGCGGAGTCCTCCACTTTGACACCGAGTGGCAAAGAAGTCATGTCAGCAGCCGGGGCCATGCAGAGCCGGGCCCCC